ATGCACCAGTCACTCTTCTAAGCCAAAAATATAGGAAGAGGAAGTGGGGAGAATCACAACATTTCCTTCACTGGTCCTTTAGGAGGCTCAAATAAATATGAATAATTTTCAGTAAATATTTATTATCAATAATGTATACAAATAATATATAATCAAATGAATATATATATAATCTCTCACTATATATATGTATATATACATATATATATATATTTTTTTCAATGAAAAACAGAGATCTGAGACTACATAACTAATATGTGTCTGATCTGGAATTTGAGCCTGAGCCTCTTGGTTGAGCTCACTCTCTGAATTGCTTTGCTAGGTAGGCAGAATAATGAGCTGCTTTATTAAGAGGTATAGTCTTGCAGAGTAGATAAAACTTTTACAGTGAAATGGAAGACATTTCCTCTGTGGGCAGAGGGAAAGCAGTCTGAGTAAAGGGATCCATGAGCAAAAGCACAGCAGTAGGAAAGATGAAAGAAGCTTTGGCAAGAAGCCCAGTGTAGCTGCAGGATATTTGTATGGAGATGAGGGTCAATCATTCAAAATGTTATTGAAGATAGTCTTAAGTGACTTTAAAGAGCTTTAAAAGCCATATTTCTAATCATAACCATGTTTTTATCTGTCTTTGCAGATTATATCGTACTTTTAAGGACAATAAATATGTGTACATGCTTCTGGAGGCCTGCTTAGGTGGGGAGCTATGGAGTATATTAAGAGACAGGTAATGAACAAGCATTATAAGCAAGAGCTTTCTTTACTCATGTCAGTCTACAGGATGTTGGATTTAGGAACATTTAAAAAGGCACAGAGGAAATGATTTGGAAATTATTATAAGAAAATATTATCGCTTGATAAAATACAGTAGGAATAGTCTATTAGCTGACATTGCAGTCATGTCATATGCACCCTGTGACGTAGTCAGTTTTAGGCAGTAAAGAATCCCAGAGACGGAGAACTATCCAAGGTCTCATGGTGAGTACAGGGCAGAATCAGGGCATTAACTCAGATGTTTCTGATTCCCAGACTTAAAGAAATGGGACCTGGTAGGGAGTCGTTAAGACCTCACAGAAAAGCAGTGTAAGATGTCAACAAAGGTTCAATTTTACTAAAGAAGTGGTTTTCATGCACTCAAACCACAGATACATACTAAGCACCACCTCTGTAGAAGACTCCACAGCAGACAGTATGGAACTTTTCTAGATGATATAGAGTTTCTATCATAAAGAATAAAAAGTATGAACCTTTTTTTCCTGGCACATCAAGAGTTCCTTTGGGGAAATTATATGATTTTTAAAAC